ATGATCTATCTCGTTAAACATTCTATGAAACGGGGCTCTATGACAGAGAATACCTGCGATCAAAACCGGCCGGCGCGTTGTGCAACGCGGTGCGGTCTGTATGTAAGTTCGCGTTACTTAACCGCCGAGATCCTTCTGAGATCCTTCTTTGATCGCACCGAGAGCTTTGCGAACAAGCAGCGAATCTAATCTCGAGAGTATCGCATCTTTGAACCGTCGATGTATTGGTACAAGCATTTTTTTCCGTCTCTTTACAGATGATTCTTTTATTATCATAATTGTGCGTCGGTTTTAGCGGATATTTTTGTGGATTTTAAATCGAAACTTATTTTCGGATTTTCGTTTCAACAATTGAGATTTTAACAAAAAGATGTTTGCGATGAATTTTTAATTGAATTCTTCAATAACAAAGAGTCACGTGTATTACTGTCGTAATACGTGGCATCTTGACATCTCATTCATCCTTGCTTCAACGAACAAACATTGATTAGCTAATAATTCCGAGTTAAATCATACAAATAGACGTATTTATCGCGCTGACGGGTCTTTCATCCTTTCTGCACTGATTTCATCTGCGCGATTTCATCGTATTTATCTTGTTTAACAAGATCTCTGTCGCTTGTACGCGGGTTATAAAATAGAAAGAACGAGCAGAACTGCTGTTGATGGCTAAGCAACCGCTTATTGTCATCACCTTTGACTCTCGACAATATTATTGCGCTTTAGCGACGGTTGTAATTGCCATGCTGTTCTCAACATCGGTCTAGTACACAGCTTTGCCTTTTATGGCAAACTACTTGACGGTCTGTTACTCAGCAGTCGATGGCGAAGAGAACTGTTGATTTATGCGGCTGCATCGATTTATCACTTTTTCGTGCTATTAACTTCGAAGCAGAAATTAATTAAGCACCCACGATTCACGGATGATAGCTTTGGCAAATCACACGTCAATAAATGTTATAGGGCATTTCTCGATATGCGATTGCAAATCGCAAAAACCAATATTTTTATAAATAAATAAATAAATAAAAGTAAATTAAAAATAAATAAAAACGTCGGTTATGCAAATTGATCGCAATATTCTAAAATAAATGAAAGATATATCTAGCGTTATAATTTTTATTCGTGTCATTTTTTTAAATATTTTATTATAAGTTTTATTTTATTTAAATATATTAAATTTTTTAAAATTTATTATAAATAATTAAAAATAAAAGAAAAATTTATATATCTAAATAAACAGATCTTGCAGATTTCTCTTCGGAGACATTTCTTGGAATAGATACATAAGAACACGAAGACGCACGAAGGTAAAATGCTTCTTGTGTCATGGTCACGCATGATTCAGACTTCTACGCAATCGAAAGAATTCGCAGATGATAACTGGTTGCGAACGAAGTTTATAAACTATCCATTGCATGAATATTATTAAAGATCTTGTTATATTAAATTATCGGTCTGCAATTTAATCTACAAAATCATTTCGCGTTTTTAGGCCAATATTTTTCAATTTGCACCTCTTCATTGATTATCTATTAAATTATTAAAAACTTAGTAACTACGTTATCTAAATTATAACATCGTTAGTTATAACAACAGTAATTTTGTGAAAAAAATATTTAGATTTGTATCATATGTCGCTCCAGAAGAGAAGCATGTCTCGAGCAACATATCATGATTATTACTGTGATGATTCAGATAATCTTTGAAGATGCAATTCAAATAAAATTCTAGATTATCATTTATTTGTAATCATTAATTTTTCAGTTTCCTTGAAATCTTGGATGCGAGAGACATATGTCTGTGTTGCGTCCGTTCATTTAATGCTGAGAAGATTGAATTTATCGGTATATATGATATAGAGAAATTCTATTTTAAATGAAAGCGTATATATTTTATGTAAATTCAAACTAATGACGGTCTGAAATGTGGAATAAAATCTTGTGAGTCTATTTATTTTTGCCATGATCATCGAATTACCAGGTAGAGTGATAAATGATTAATTAATTCATGATAGAGAGACCGACGGTGGCAATCCGTCGATGAGACGGTTTCACAATTCACACAGCGAAATATTTACAATAATTATACGTTCTGGTCCATTCGTGTAGATCTCACAGATAAAATAAGCGAAGCGCTCCAGCTATTCCCATTAAATAAATTAATATACGTTCGTAAACCGTTACTAGAATCCGAGATAAGTGTTCAAGATAGTAACATCAGAGACAGTTAGAAATGCTCGCAGTACTTATGCGTCTCTAAATGATGTAACGACGAATACGTGCTGCTATACATAAGGAACTAAAGCACGTTGTTGTCTTTCAAAAAATCCTCTTTACAGCGGACTAAGAGATTTCGATCAAAATAAGACTTTAATTCTAGTTTAACGCTAGTAAATTTCAGTAGATTATTTTATATAATTTTATCATTCGGAAAAATATACAGACATAATCGTTTTAATCTTCAAAATTATTATTGTGGAATTATTTATACAATTTTATAGATAAATTTAAAAAATCAATAAAAAGAAATAAAAAATTGATAAAAAATAAAAATTAATAAGGAATAATAATATACATATCTTCATATATAAGAATTCAACGAAGTTGAATAGACGTTATTTAAGATCCTGTCAAAGTATCAAAATATACATTAAGGGAAAAAAAGAAGATATAATTTAAGGGAAAAAAAGAAGATGATATGTAAAACTTATATTTAATGTTCATTGATGTCAGATTCGAAGAAAAAACGAAAAGATGTCGCATGCTTGAGTAATAAAAATTGTGTATTCACCTATCGTTTTTCCTTTTCTTTCTTTTGCTTCTCTCTCTCTCTCTCTCTTTCTTTCTTTCTATCTCATCCGACATCATTTTGATGTTACCAAATTGTTCGACTAACGCTGCTTCCAGCAAGCAGAACCGTTACATAGGACCGTTCCTCTCTATCGCTGCTTCCTCTCGAACATTATAATTTACAAGCGCGTCGAGCACGACAAGAGTCGATCCCATTTGATGGGCACGGAAATTTATTATCCGTTTGACTCGCTGTATTGATTTAGACATCGGAATCGAATCGATACCGGCAGTCATAGATAATATGGACAGCTTGTTTACTTTCTTTCTCTGCTCGTTTGCGATGACGACAACAGCGACCATTTTTGCCACACTTGAATGTCAAGCGGGATCTCTGTCTGTATCCGAACGATACGTGCCACAGCTTACACAACGGCACCGTCGCACAATCGTTCAACGAGCATAAAACGAAGGCGATCACGTCGCGAGAGCGGTAGAGCAGGAATGCTACGTCGGCGCAAAAGTGCCATGAGATACCTATCGGTTAAATTTATAGAGCCATCCCATGTATCTGTCATAACACGCTGACATTAACGGGACGATGATGATGCATCTAATCAGTGTCCCGGGAGATAAATCAAACGAAACGCAGCAACGGTCAGCTGATGTTAAGACAATCAAATCTGCAATGAATTTCTTCGCTCATAACGGGATCGTCATCTTTTTCTTCATTGTGTCATTCAAATATTAATATGCCACATTATGACTTTTAAGGATGATGTATGTTATGGGATTTTTCTGCAAAGAGGTTCTTAAAATATAGAGAATTATTAATTCCTTTCCTCTCTCCTGACTCAAAGAAAGAAAGAAAAAAATCAGCATGGGCAAGTTTTGTCTCTCATGTAGCGGTTCCTTTGTATCGAAACATAAAATTTCGAAGCAAGATACACCCTTCGTGCACTGGCGAAGATGAAGAGTTCCGAGTTATAAGTTGACCAATCTCTTTGCCATGTAATAACGCGCTTTGTCCGAGCCCCAAGGCACGATATTAAGCATTCCAGGGCAACGATGCAATAATGCGGGGCTATCCGATGCATAGGAACTAAAACAGGAACGCTATGGACGAATTTAAAATATTCGCCGAAGATATTGCTGATCACGGTTACGCACACAAACATGTACACGCGGAAAGAGAGAGAGAGAGAGAGAGAGAGAGAGAGAGAAAGAGAGAGAGAGAGGGAGGGAGGGAGGGGGGACTGTATAATATAATTTCGGATCGGAAGCTTCGGTTCCGGTATTCGTTGTTCCGCCAAGTCGTGAATCTCATTTTGACCTATGGAAGAATAGATTAACAGTAGTCTTAACTCGATTATTGCATTCCTTCGCCCTGATACTGATTATTATGATTCTGACGTGGAAAATTTTACGAAATTACGCGACATTGATCGGTTCGATCATCGTTCGACATATCGTTCATTTACCGGAAATATAATGGATTATCCATTAATAAAACTCGTTTAAACGTTCGATAAGTAAGGACACGTTAGGCCACCTGATAACTTTCGGAATAATCTTTCCATTCGATCCATTAAGAGTTATTAAGACGCGCCGTTACACGATGGTTATCGATAATTTGACGGGAGAGGTTCATTACCAAGTGCGAACTGAAAGTATATCTCGACAAGTGTCATCGAGAATAATGTCATGGTATTCATTTGCGATATTTGGCAACTGTGTGATTCATGATTATATCATTTGCACGCAATATATTGAATAAAACTCATCACTGTGATTAATATATAAATCAAATAGTGATACATGCAATAAGAGAACTTTATCTTCGAGTAATTTATTTTTTATCTTCCTCGGCTAAAGACAATTTATATTTCTTTCCATTTTATTGAATATATATATTAAAACGGTAAAATGCTATTAACGCATTGTTTCTGCCGATAGATAATTTCTTGTTTCTCGTTATGAATGTTATTATTTTTTATGACATCTTTAAAATAATAATATTTAATATAATCTATAAAAAAAATAGCATATTTTTTATAATTAACATTTAAAAAATCTCTCTCTTGGATTTTTATAATTTAATTTTTATTTTTTTAATTTTAATTTTTATTATTTTACATTTTTAAAATTTTGGAGTCATCTTGTCAAGTCTTTTACGTCATTTTGCTACATGTTGATGCATGTTTGCAGATATGAAACCTTCGGACAGGAGCGAGAAGGCCATGTTGTCCGGAAACGCGCAACCGTCGGATGTGTTCTGTTCGGTCCCAGGACGATTATCGTTACTAAGCAGCACCAGCAAGTACAAAGTTACGGTAGCAGAGGTACAAAGACGGCTATCGCCACCGGAATGTTTGAACGCGAGTCTCCTCGGCGGCGTGTTACGAAGGTAAGGCGTCAATTTATGAACTCTATAATTAACGCACAAATCAATTTTGCGAGTCGATATAAAATATATAATTACATCGATTTCTCGATAAGCTCTCTCCTTCCTTTTCCGTCTTTCTTCCGCGAGAACAATTTTGTCGACAGAAAGAGTGAGAAAGGGAGAGAGAAAGAGAAAGAGAGACAGCGGTTCATTCATCCGTCTTTAATCGCGCACACACTTAGAGCCCCTCGGGCTCTCTCAGCAGTCCATAAACAAACCGTTAGAATAATTTGGCGAAAGATTAAATATCCCGTGAGAATCGGCACGACTATCGGTTAAGAAGGCGCCCGATATATACGAGTATATCCCGTTGTTTCGAAATTAACGCAAGCATAAAATAAAATAAAATAAAATTGTAAAACAGGTGCCAGTCGAAAATTCCCGATGAGGAAAATCTATTAGTTAAGATTTAGAAAAATATATACAATAAAAATGGGACTCGATCGCAATTTCTTAGAAATATTCCGTCATGGGGTACTATATTAATTAGGGTTTTATATTAATTAATTATATTATATTATATAATTATATAATTAATTATATTTATTAATTATTACACTCTTATGACATTTCTTACAAAATGCGATAATCCGTGGGATATCGTCCGTGACTTGTATCGCGGCTACTGATTCCGTGGAACAAACAAAATGGGTACGAGATACACGCTGCATTAAGTCGACATTTCCGGCCGCGCATCGAAATAATCGGTGTAATTGATATGGAGCGCGATCGGAACAATACGCTTAAAAGATACAGCGGGATGAAGATCGCGATACGCACCGTTACACGACTTTATCTACGAGACTAATTAATAAAACCGCGTGTTCCTCGTCCGGCGCATTTCTTATACCGAGCACGGACAGCCACCTGATTTATAGGAGCTTCTCATGGGAGAGAAACACCCTTCTTTATCTGATTCGCGGTTTTATCCTAGGCTGAAGAACACTGCTCATTGCGCAATCCTTTATCACTAAAGGCGTGGATGAATTACTGTGCAAGTGTGGCCAGATATTCTCCAAGCGCTCGTATGTACGTGCGACTTTTCACGGTGAAACCTTCTCTCGCAATAGACGTTGCAAAATTACCGTCAAGACATCGCACTCTCTTATTTTACATCCTTTAGATGAATATTTGTAAGAAAATTAATTCAACATCACGTGGGTAAGAAAGAAAATCCAATCCGTTTCGTTCTAGATTCGTTGGAGAACACAAGTGGAGATTTAATAAAATAATAATAACTTTTATAATAGAGATAGGAATATGTATCAAATGCATCTGTGTTTCAAATTTTAGCAATATTTTTTATTGCATTTTTTGATATAATTAATTTTTAAATTAATTATATCAAAAAATGTAATCAAAAATATTGCTAAAATCAGAGATAGGAATATGTATCAAATGCATCTGTGTTTCAAATTTTAGCAATATTTTTGATTACATTTTTTGATATAATTAATTTAAAAATCAAAAAATGTAATAAAAAGTATTACTAAAATTTGAAACACAGATGCATTCGATACATATTCCTATCTCTATTTAATAAGATTTAAACAAATGTCAATTTGTATCTGCGTTCCAACTTTTAGCAATATGTTTTAAATTTAATTTTTTAAAACAAATGTCACTTGTATGTCATTCAACGCAGAATGCGTTGATATTACGAGAGAAAACGCGCGCTTTCTGCGCGAGTAAAAAAAAAAGAAATCTTACGCATGCACGTACTTTGATGTATCACACATCGCCCACGAATTGTTTCGCTGTCAAGTGACGAAGCGCGGCGAATCTTTCGCGTATATACGCCGCGGAATAAACTGCTAATAAAGCGGACCGATCTATCCCCGATGCAAATGAGACATTAATAACCCGCGTAGCTCCGAGTGTCAATTCTCTCCTCTCTCGATGCGCGAGCGAACGAGCGCGCCTCGGGCGAGCGCGGCATCTCGCACCGACGGTTATAATTCATCCGTTCGCATAGCGATCTGACCGATAATTACACGCGCCGGACCGAGACTTGCCACCATAGATTCTCCCTCTCTTCTCTACGGTATCCTCCTTTTGTCTCTCCCACCAGCTCAGCCTCATTCCCGGCAACTCGTGGCCTCCCCTGTGCTCGTCCACTCATGAAGATCCTCCGCGATCGTAATACGCCTCGAGAGATCCTCAAAGATCGATTGCGCCGTATCGTTGCCCTCGCAAATATATGCGAGCTGTCCTTTGTCGCACAGATGCACCGGTTCGCGTCTACCGTTTTGCTTTCTCACCGTCGCTTTTTATCGCTTTGAGCATTTCGTAACGCGCGTTTCCTCTCGGTTTGCGATTTAATTTTTATATTATTATTATATATTATTATTATATAGTTTATATTATTATTATATATTATATATTATTATTATTAATTTTTATTTTATTCCACATATATGTGTTGGATTTATCGTACGAATCATAAGAACGAAGGAGGAAGAAGTGGAAGATTGAAAGGGCTTTCGATTAAAATAGTTTCAATTTACAAATGCATCATTTGAAGATTTTTGCACATCATATTTAAAAAGATACAATTATATATATATATATTTTTTTTTATCAATTTTCTATGCATAATATCCTTATCTCTAAAATATACTCTGAGGTACGATCTTTGAATTTTATTTAGTACAATTTATAATATTGTATATTCTTTTAATCTGCAATTATTAGCGATTAGTATAATATCCTTATCTCCTTATCTTTTTATCTCCTTATCTATAAATTATTGTCGCAAACATCTTTCAAGATTGATCAGATATTCACTTAAAAATCTAAAAAAAAAATACGTCGACTAAGTCAAAGCGATTGATTTCTACGTTAGATGTTGTTTTTCAGTTATAAATTCATTCTATTTTTTTCTTTTTTGCGAATGTTTATGTCAAATGAGATTATGCGTGAATCAGTTATTATATAAGCAATAGACAAGCTATAATACTATATGTATAGTTAAATTATAGATTTATTTTGCGGCAAAAAATAGTAGCATTTTATTATTCTCTCATTAAATCTGATAATCGTAGAAGTATAACATTCTCTGACGCACGACCTTCTTATTCTTCCGCCGATTTAATTTATTATCGCATATCGAGCCGATATTATTTTTCTGATCAAGTTAAATGTCCATACAAAAGAAATTCTGCCATTTATTAAGTCTCATATGACATATTTAAACAAACTTGCAGAATAATAAAATATGAATAATAAAAAATAGCAATTTTTCTTTCAAAAATTTTAATTCTACTCAAATATAATATTATTAAAAACTGAAATAATTTATTTATTAAATTATTTATTAAAAGCCTATCGCAAAATCAATTTTAGTAGCTTATACATTTTTTATAAAAAGTTGAAAAATATATAATTTAATTTAACTTTCATTATATAAAATTTTGAAGAAATATATAAATTATGTAATGTATATAAAGCTATATTGAACAGAAAATTCTAATCCTAAGTAATAAATATTAATACAATTAATATTTATAAATATTGAAAAATATATATATATTTTATAAAAGATCTGAAAATATTTGATTGAAAATGTATAATACTTAATATCATTAGCAAAGATATTACCAAGACGATCAATATTCCAATCAGCTGTTCCCACGCGGGTTACGCTAATCGTTGCTAATCGTAATTTCGCTTCATTCTCTCGTAAAACGAATGGTACGAAAGATATTTGAATGAGCCTTGATCGTGTCAGGAAGTCCTTCGGTTTACTACTAATGTCGCGCGGCATCCGTAGACGATTAACGATGCTAGTCGTCTCGAGTAATCAGGGGGAACAAGGAATCTCGGCGCACCAGGATTCCTATCAGAATCGAGGGGATGCAAAGTCTCGCGGAAACCCCAACGTAGACGATGCGATCTGATTGTGAGTGGAATGGGGATCCTTCTCGGGACAAGATTCTGTAATGAGTGCAACGTCGCTTTCGTCACGTACGAAGACGAACGACGACAATGATCGTTAAACACAAAAATTCGATTTGGTCATACGTTTATTTCATGCGATCATTTAAATTCGGGACTCGATCAAAATTCTTTCGTCGTGCATTGACCATACATCTCGATACATATATTATTAACACTCACTAATTATCAATAACGATGATTATCGATGACAATCACGTTTTCTGAGAAGGCAAAAAGTGCAATTGTAGGTCGAAACAAGAGTGCAGAGAGTATTTGAGAGTATAATTTTAGCAAAAAATTCTGTCAACTTAATATCTCATATTAGATTTCATTTTAGATCTCATCTTAAATTTTGATTGCAATGTAAAATATACAATAAATATAATATAAATTAAAAAAATAAATCCATTTAAATTCATAAATTCTATTATTAAGAAAAAAATTCTAACGTATTACGTTTTGCAAATAAATATAAGTGTAATATAGATTTGTGATATAATATTGTATTATTTATAAAATATAAGAATAAGAAGAAAAAGAGACATAATCTAATTAATGTATCAAAATAAAAATTTTCGATAAAATCAAATTTAAGCGAAAATTTCGCATTTAATCATAAAGATTAAATCGACAATTAACTTTCTTTTCGATTATGTTTAGAAATGAAAAATGTCTCAATGTCACCAAATATATTTTGAAGAATATAATTTTCAGGAAATAATGAACATAAATTCGAAGAAGTCGATATTAAAAATATAGCGGTAAAATGTATTAATTGCCGAAAGCGAAGGATTGTCCGGGCGAACCGGACAAAGGTAGGCGATACGCGTTACCGTTATAACAGGCCAAGATGATGGATGGACAGGGTGTGTTAAAGAAAGAAGTTCGCTGCTACTATCGCATTGCCCGTTGATGTTGTACAAAAAAAATTTACTTCGCGGCTTGGTCGTCGGATTAACAACACGAAATCGCCATGGGATGGTCTCCGCAGCGTGAGACGATTAAAACGCGATTTTCGATTGTGTCTTAATGAACTTCGGTCGAAAAAACACATGGGACGTATCTAATACATGAATCAGCAGCAAATAAAAAATTAAAGTTTTTTTCTCTAAAATATATTTCGCTTTCAGCGAGAGTTCGTACTTTGTAGAGTTGTCTATGTATTTATTTCCTACGATATTAGTTACATTGAAGGAATAACTGTAATATATCATATATATAGGTCTTGTATTCTTTGAAAGAGTCATTTATTTAGTTAATGAAGCTATCTCTGAAGTCATTTAACGCATAAATATTTTTTACCTACACAAAATACAACTATTAAATACTAGTAATATTTTAGATGACGGTTTCAGTCTTGATATCATTTTATTAATCAAACATTTTTTGAAGTAACGAAAAAGATATAGCTAATTAAACCAAACGAAATCACACAATTACAGATAATGCTTTAATCAATGATCAAATGTTTCATCTAGATGATCATATACAAGGTGTGTTACATTTCTTAATAATTAACCTATATAAAACGAAGGAGGCCGTAAAGATGCCGGCAAAAATCCTATCAATCCTCGCGTTACAATCTGAATAGAGATTGCTGTGTGAACACAGTGCTCCTTTGAGGCATGATCCTATTCCGCAAAACATGAACAGTACGCATCCTTAAGTGTGCGTTGCTCCGCTCGTCGAGTTGCTCAATCGCCGATGACACATGCGTAGTCGCGGATTATGCTAATTCACATATTTTTCTCTCTCTCTCTTGTTGCTGCCGTCTCTTTCTGCTCTACAATTTCATCTTTTTAGAGATCGCGGCAAAATGATTAATGGTGGAGTTTCGTTTCTCACGCGCTGAGATCTCGCGAATATGCGTGGGTGTCCGCGTGTATTCGAATAAAAAAATAACACGAGACCGATGGGAAAAATAATTAGCTAAACGTCATAAATTAACGACGATGATATTGCTCGAGTATTATTTATTTTACGCAATACATATAAAATATATGGAGAATGAATTTAGTTGATTGGTTCGCGAAAATGTGATTATGTTAGGCAAGTTATAAAAGCTTTAACTCGACCAAATTTGACGATATTAAATCAATGCACGAAATATAAAATAATATTAAAAATGTAGTACGTGTAAGAGACGTTTAAAAATATAAAGAATGATTATTCTATTTTTATGAATTTTATTATAACAATATTTTTGAATGAATTATGTACAGATAAATATAAGAATTAAAATATTTATACAGTGTAGCTATTCAAAAACGTTTTTATCATTATCTTTGCTATCTATTATATATAACAATGAATTTATCGTTGATTATCATACATCATGCCCGTTGTATAATGTTAAAAAAAGTATGAAGAAACTTTATGCTATAAGAGTTTTTTTTTTCAGGGCGAAATCCAAAAACGGCGGGCGTCTGCTTAGGGAAAAACTGGAAAAAATTGGTTTGAATCTGCCAGCCGGCAGAAGGAAGGCCGCCAATGTCACGCTTTTAACATCTTTAGTGGAAGGTGAGTGTTTTCTCTTATTTCGAAAACTCGATTACAAACTTGTTAAGGAATTTATAAACAAAAAAGAAACATTTGCTGACATAGAGCTGATAAGTTTGATATAGCTCGCACGTTACAACCTTAATAGTCTTGAGATATCAATTAAATATTAATATAATGATTTACGATGTTATTAATTGTAAGCAGATATGATCAGGAATTGCTACATACATTATACATGCTTGTTTCTATTCCTGATTTTCAAGTTTTCAACATCGCATTATATATGAATTGAATAAACAAGTTGCCGTTTCTCTTGAAATATAATAAAAAATGAAAGCATTTCTGTTCTGTCTGAAATCTTTAAATTAGAATTCTTATGTCTTAAAAAATTCCTGTTTTAAAAAAACTAATATTTAAGTTTCCAATTAATGTCAACTTAAATTTATCTTAATATTACATTAAAATATAAGCTGAATATTTTGTGCAAAGATTTATTTAAAAGATGAAAAAATTTCATTTTATAATATGAAAAATGAAATCCAATCAAACTTCGAAAAATTAAATTTAAATTCTTTAAAAAAAACCTGTCATAAAGAATAATATATTTCCAGAACACAAATTTACATATATATTTAAAATATATTTACCTATATAAATTATTTTATATTATATATTCTAATTTAAAAAACATTACATTTGTCAGACCAAGGTATAGTATATATTAAGCTTGCTTGTAAATTCAACAATATTCTCGTAAACGCTATTATTTCTTAAAGATATAACATATACCTATCTCATAAAATATCCCGATAAAATAATGTTTCAAATATTTAAAAAAATTTTTTTTCGCGATAATAAAAGTAATATCTTTTTTCTTCGTTCGGGAACGTTTTTCTCATTAGCAATAATGATCGCGTATCCGGTATGAGAAGTAAAAATATGTATTAAATGCTTTCCGTAGAATCCCAATTCTGTAATGAATTTATATTCTTTTTTATATTTTACGGTACCAATATTCGTTTATATTTTATATGATACAATATATCAGTCATATTTTTACTAAAATAATATCGAAGTGTTTCTAAAGTACAATATCTTAATCAATCTTATCAATTGGCTTTGCAAATCTTAATTAAAATATCAAAGAAAATATATAAAATGCATTATGTTTCTTTTCGAGAGAAAGAGAGAGAGAATTTAGCAATTTTTTTTCTTAACAAAAGTTTATGTGAAAATGAGAAGCTATGTAATTATTTAATAGCTCGATAAAAAATAATTAAAATAATTAATTTCCAGAATTAGTAATTTAAATTTTATTGAAGATTAAAAAGAACAGAGATATTTTATTGCTTTTACTTATATTTTCAAAACTAAAAAGCTTTTATTAATTATTTTTACAATTAATTTCTATCTGAATCAAAACATTTTGCGTACATTATTTAGTTAATAAATAAATTTGTTTTCTCAAGTAATTATATTTTCTCAAAAGAAAATTTGCTTTTCAGTTTATTTCTCAGAATTTATAAGAACAATTTATCTTTATATGCATCTTGTAATCTTATTATACTTCTATAAAATATTTCAATGAAAAAAATCACCGCGCCACATTAACACAATAATGTTTTTTCAATAATGAATTACAATACATGACAGAAGTAATGCTTTTCATTTATTGCCATCTTGCATTTATATTATCCGGATGTAATAAAAAAGTCTTAATATATTTCCTCATCTTTTTGATAATATATTACTTAATTTTGAAAATCTGAATCCAATTATATTTAATATAGAAAACAATATGCTATTAATCACATTTATCTAAAATGTCTCATAACAGTAAAATGTCATAACCCTCTCATGATTTATTCTTTAATTAATAATTGTTAAAGCTTGTTAATGAAACTCACGATATTTATCAAAAAATATGCTGCCATAATATCGGACATTATGTCTCAATTCTTAAAAATGTATGTATTACATAACAATTAATTGACATTGTTATCAACGTTTAACAGTTTGGAATTAGAACGACGTATCATTTTGTGAATTGAAATTAAATGAAACAGAAATATATATATATATATATATATATATATATATATATATATGTTACATATATTATATAGTACATTTAATATATTCGCAAAAAGGTTATGAATAGAATAATTGTGGTTCTAAAATATTGAGAAAAGTATGGTAAACATTATCGATATATATATTATGAAGAAAGATTTTAAAAAATATTGATCAACATATTTAACTTATTAATATATATCCGTATGAAACATTGTTCGTTGTGCGAATTTTGGCAGAATTCTTTACTGTCATAATCAATAATGGCGTTAACGATAATCGAACTATAATCACGCGTTTTTCTTGGCAATTTATCGCGAGGGATAAACATAACGCTTTCCGATTTACTGCCGCTATAATTTATGCGAGGTTACCTCTTTGCTCATCTTTACACCCTCCTCTCGTCGCAACTCTGAAGAATTACATTCCTTGTGACGCCCACTTGTCTCGTAGGGCACAGTGATGAAATCATCTCTTTGGAATAGCGTGCACGTTAAGGCGAATTTACACGGTTTATGCTCGATGATAATTTCGGACAAGTCATTCAAGTGGATGAATAAATTTTTGTTTAGGCACCGAGTCTCATAAGATGAAATATCTTGCCTGACTAAATATTGTACGAAAATAAATATTAAGATTCACATTATTATGCATATATTTCTTCCTTATTTATGCTATATATGTGTATGTGTATATACGATTAAATTGTATTCTTTTATCTGATATTATCTCTGGCATAAATCTCTATATTAAATTTCTGTAGTATAAATTTATATATAAAATTTATTATATATATAAAAATTTATTATATAAAATAATACCATCTTCAAACTTATCCTGTTTGTAATTATTTATATAGCTTTTAATTATCTCGATTAAATTTATTCCGGCAAAAAGAATGAAATAAATTGGCCAATTGCATTTCCTTGATTTGTATGAAAATTTTCCATCTGTGTAATCTACCATAAACCACTTTATTTTCATTTCAAATGATTCTTAACCGGATGATTATCGAAAGTGAACCGTATAAATTAGCCTTTAGAAAGGTCTCCTTTGTTCTTCCGCGTTATGACAGTAACAACCTCAGAGTGCAATCTTGTTGGCGGATACAGGATACGAATGGCTAATCAGAGAGAGAGCGAGAGGGACTCCTACGGGATATCCCAAGTGCGCGAGAGCGCTTAATAACGAGCGTGCAACAAATACGTATATGCGCACAATCGCCATGCCACGCACCTCGGTCAGCAGTGCTCTAATGACGCGCCTGGAAGTTCGCTGGCACGGACGTTGATTATAATTTATGGTCGGTAAGGCTTTTATAAAACACTGGGGTTCTTGCTTTTCTTTCCCCTGTGTTGCGGAGCACACGTACCGTCCTTTCTCAGTCGGAGAGCCCAAAATCTGAGCGTATTATGTTTCCCTGAATTGCAATCTGCATATGTACATTCAACAAATATTTCCAAGGAAATATTAAATTTTCGAAAAAAAAAATATTAAGAATTTTAGAAAATTTGCACCTCAATCTTCACTTCTTCAATAATAATATTAAATAATGAATATGTAGTATAAATGTACGTGGGACTGTGTGATTCGTAAATTTGAAATGTATATATTTTGGTATTCATAAATTTTGTTATTTTGTTATCTTAAAAACGATTCATGCACCTATTATTCGATGATGATAATTAATAATTTTAATTTCTTAAACAATCACGATTTTTTAACTGTAACGATTTATGGTTTTGATAAAAATATATGTAGCATTTAATACGTTAAAATATCTACCGTGAAATCTGTATATTCCATTCCAAATAAGATACGGCACATCTAAATTTTCAGATATTTAAATATGAAATTTGATTCCGATTGATATTTCATGATGTATAAGTTGAAGCTAATTAATTCACATTGTCTACTGACGTTACTGATAATACTGACATCATATATCCTATAAAATTATCTTATTATCGCATAAATAAAGTGGAGATACATCTGTCGATTTATATCCATAGTCATTAGCTGTAAAACAAGTTAAATTAGTATGTTTTGAATTATATTTATAATACATTTTCTCGGGACACGAATTAATGTCATTAATAAAATTAGATTCTCGTAACGTCTATCCTTCAATAAATATTTACGTGTCTGAATGCAAATGGAGCTTATAATTAACGTAGGAAACAAAGTTCATTAATTGCGTTTATTAATGTGCAACTCATTAATTTCATATTTCCTGTCTAGAAGGTTTGCAAGGAGAAAAATTCGAAAAGAACTTTAAATATATATTTCAATTTTAATTTTCAATTCCATTTATATATGTGGATTATTTCACCTGTAAGTTTGAAGACAAGATTGATCACTATTACAAAAGGAATCAAATTCATGTATCCATAACTATATAAATTTAGGAGAATTTTGTGATGCAATCTGTGTTTATTAATTTTAAATATCTGATGAACTATCATGCTTTAATGATGTAGAAGATGTTTCAATAATGATAAATTAATAATGGCAGTGTGTTTACGATATTTTATTTTTAGATTTATTTTTAGATTTTTACGATAACATGTAATACATAAACTCAACGAGTTTCATGTTTCTGTCCTATGTTTTACAAGCTATGCAATAGCAGTCTATATATCATTCAGGAACTTTAATTTATAAGTCTTTATTGAATCTTGAAGTCTATTACCATAGCAGTTTTAAGTATATTTAAAAAATACGTAGCAAAAATGCAATATGCAGCGTGTAATAAGGATATAAAAATACAAATTTCTATTAATTGTAATCCAATTAAATTTAAAAATCATCCACTTGGCAACAATTTACATATTACAGATTTTTGTATATAGCCAATAGACATTTTTTATTACATTCTTTTTTTACAATTTATTTTATAGATTTATACAAAACAAAATAAATTTGAACACAATAAATTTGATAAC